CTGTATCAAAGAAGGCAGATGGACAATATTTAAAAAAGAAAACAGATAAAGATGAAAAGCAAAGCAGTCATGTGGTAGTGCAGGATGTGAACAATTAACAGGCTATAATCAACATGGGAGGCATAAGATGGAACACATGTGAGACGTAAGATTTCAATTTATACATGGGGAATAAGAACTTTTAATGCAATTGATAAATGCACTGAATGTCCTCAGGATGAAAAGATTTTTCTCAACCTGCTGAATGAGAAATATCTACTCTATGTGCAGTGCTGATGAAGGGAATTCAAATTTAAGAACAAAAAGAAATTACAAAATCTCATACAAGAGTACATTTCAATAATGGGGGCCATGACAGTGAGTGCCAAAATTATACCAATAATCTATATGTTCATTCTCACTGAATTCCAATCATGTCTTATATAAATATGATTATTAGATGTCTTTACTATGACTGATTAAATACATTAATGTGTTAATATTTTATTACAAATCATTAGAATCTGTTAAAACAAAAAGTTCAACCTGGGTATACCTAGTGGTGATTCTTCTTTGTTTTATGGAAACTGATTTACAGACTTTATATAACCAATCCACCACTTAATTAGTGACAATTAACTTTCCAGAGTTTTCAGAGTCCAGTATTATGGAAAGTATTAAATAAATAATATTTAGAGCATCCTTAAAACCATGTCTGTCCCAGAATAAGTACACTGTAAATTGTTCTGCTTTCATTAACATTTAGTTGATACAGGTCTTCTGGGAATTTCTACCTTATCTGGCCTTGCTACTATTGATTTCCTCCCATTATGGCATCAGTATACCTCTGTCTCCAACATGGGCAAGATTGTACCAGAATGATAGCTACCCACATTTTTTTAAGCCAGAGATTTGGGCAAAACCTATGTATTGGGAGGAAAGACTTTACTTTGTGAAATATGTACATTTTCACTACACTGAAACTATAGTCTTCACTACACTGAAACTATAGTCTTTTAGTCCCTCAAACACTTAATGATATTCTTAAAAAGATATGTTGGACTTCACTGAATTTTTTATCACAGCTTTGAATATTATTTCAAGTCATCTTCAACAACTCATATTCACATTTACACAATCATTCAGACTTACGAGTCTTCATTTCATGCACTGATTCTGTTTGATCCATTCTGTGGTCATCTTTAACACAATCGAATGATAGTCCTTAAACAGAGGGCAAAAAGTCAATTGCTTTTATGAAGAAAGGAAGCACTGTAAACTATAAATCATCCATTGTAGAACATAGAGTTTTCATAAAATAGATTTTCTTAAATCAAATCAACATATTTGTTGAGGAGCTAACCTATGCTAAATGAGGCAATCAATCAATATTGAATGGAGAGGCCCACCCTTCCAACTGGGGGACATGGAAGTGCTATCGATGGAGACCTCTGAAAAATAAAAAGAGTACTGTTTCATATTTTATCTGATCAACCACTGAATTATACCCTGTAAAATTTCTTATAAGAAATGACAAGTCATCCAAGACCCTGAGTTTTCTGTTGATGGTCTTGCAACCTAACATACCCACTCAAAAGATCATTTTGATTCTGAAATAATTATTATACACTCAATTTATTGCAATCAACTGGATTGCATACTACAAAATAGTATTTATATTTTAACCAAGAAGTTACATCAATATGTTCTGTCTATTATACATTTTATCTGAGATTTAACTTCAGAAGAGGCTACCAAATAACAGTTCCAATGACAGTAGAAATAATTGTCATTATAATTGACCCTTGTCTTGGATGCCTAACTAATTAATAATTGAGAGCTGAAGGAAATGATAGATCACTTAATGGCAGGCTAATTCTTTTTAGATAGTTGTGACTTTTTCATTTGCCTTATCTGCTTTCTCTTCAGAATCCTGATATAGGCTTTGAGGCAAGATAGACCTGAATTTGAATCCAGGCTCTGCCATCTAGTGGCTTTGAGACCTTAAGAAAGTAACGTATCTTCTTGGAGCCTCAATTCTTCTGGAAAGGTAGAACAATTGATACTGCCCACCCAGGACTTTTGTGAGGGTTAAGTAAAACAGTATATGCAAAGGTCCTGGCTCTTAATAAGGGTCCCATAAATGTTACTTATGATTAACATCATTAACAAATGCAGTGTTACATCACTACATAAAGACAGGCTTAGAGGGGAACAGGGAGGGCTCTAGGAGTAGGTGGGTCAATGATGGAAGTGGAATTGGCAGCAGCTACCAGGTCTCTCATTCCAGTGCTTTAAATACTAAGCTGCTCCATCTCTGCTTAAAGCCCCATTTTGGAACAAACAGCTCTTTTATTTTTATGATATCATTTTGAAAATGATATCAAAATAAAGACTTAGACATTAATGTAAATAAATTTTCCTTATTTGTACTTTTAGAGAAGAATATGAATAAAAATGATAGGACAAATTTTGTCATTTGTGCAAATGATAAAAAACAAAAGTCACATAGTAACCACAGAGAATCACGGTGGGAATGATTATTTCTAGATGTGTGATGTTTTTCCCCACAGACATTCTCACATTCTTGATTTGAAGCTTTTCCCCCCACTTAAGTAAGAAAACATAAGGGGAAAACATCCAAATGTCATTTTTCTTTTACATTATTCTAGTGCCCCCTATTCATACTAGACACAGAATTTAGTTTATTAGTTTGTTTGTAAGCAGATGTGCCCTGAGAAAGAAGTGAACATGTCTTTTCCTTTCACCTCCATAATACCCATTCTTCCCTACTATTTCCCACTGAAGTAAATCACAAAAAGACAGAGATGGTGAATATTTCATGGTTTCAGCTTATCTAAATATTTTGATTTTTTTATTAAAACATATTCTTCTAGTATGGGGGGTCTGCAAACTCCAGCACAAAAGCCAAATCCAGACTTCTTTCTGTTTTTATATAGATTATGAGCTAAGAATGAGTTTTTCCTTTTTAAATGCTGAAGTAAAATCAAAAGAAAAGTAGTAATCTATGCCATGTGAAAATTATATGAGACTTAAATGTTAGTGTCCCTAATTAAAGTTTTATTAGAACATAGCCAGGCTCATTCATTTACCCACTGCCTGGGGCTGCTTTTGTGCTCCAACAACAGAGCTGAGTAGTTGTGACACAGACCATATGTTGCATGCTCACTGCTTTGCACAGCTGCTTGGTTCACTACAAATCACAGTTATAATTCTACAATATTTCTGGTGCTATGCCTATCGCTGCACCACAACATTTGTTTTATTACTCATGTATGTGATGTAAAAAGAAGAAAATGGTGGACTTTGAATAATTCAGTCTTAAGGTACAGTAGAGTGTGGATTATTTCATTATCAAATTAGATGGCAAAATATCTTTGTATTAAGCAATGACACTATCACAATGTTAAATAAGTGTTGATATTTCCATACTACGCATTTACATCTCCCAACTCATGGGAAAACAACAATCGGGGAAAAAGCAGAAGCATTTAAATAAAATGTCTCATTACAACAGACTTTCTTCACAAAAATAAAAAACAAAAATGAGGCTGCAACTAAATTTCTGAGCAGCTCATTTATTAGCCAAACAAGAGAACGCATTTACCGATGTTGACTTATCAATTAAAGAAATGTAGCCAGAGAAAGTAGTTAAGATTGTCAACTATTTGGCAAGAACAGTTGCTCAAAGAGTTGAAAACATTGGCAGCAACATCAATAGTCAATTAAAAACAAGGCAAATTATCTTGAGTGGTTTTCCTTGGCTCTTCATTAGTCAAAAGATATTGACAATACTGGTTGGTTGTTGCTTATTAGTGAAGTCAATGATGCATTTGGAGTGACTGAAAAGTGACCTTTGTGAATAATCTGTGTGGAACAAATACAGGTGGAAATAGTTTCAAAGAAGTTGAGAAAACACTCATACACAACAACCTGAAGTGGAATCTGCTAAGATGTGTTAAAACTGATAGTGGTAAAAATATGTGTGAAGCAGAAAAAGGGCTTTCCCCACCCCCCTACAAATTCACAAAGCTTATGAAAAGGTAAGGTGTTTAAAGCCTATGGTTATTCATTGTATCATTCATCTGCAGGTCCTCTGCCGAAAGTATTTGAATCTATGTTGTCGAACCAGTTGTGTCAATAATGAACTTCATTTACTCTTGTGGATTTAACCATTGTCACTTGGGTGATTTTGAATTTAGGACCAAGAATTTAATTTTTTTTCAGCCACTATCATCAAACATTGAGCAGCTTTGAAATTCACATTTGCTATGGACTTGATAATGTTCCTTAAGAAACAGGCAGAGTGCTTACCTTTGTAATGTATACTTCAGTGTAATCATTTCCATAACACTGATTTTGGTTGAATAGCAAGTAATAACAAAGTGCTTTATAAGACCAGTGCTGTCAAAAGTTAAAACAATAAGCTGGATCTCCATTTTTACACAAGTTGTAAAGTGGGCTAAACCACAGTTCCGAGCTAAAACTATAGTTACAGCAGCATTTTTTTAACCTTCATGAATGGGCAAAGGATATGTACATATTTTATAATCCATTGAATGGTGCAACCAAGAAGCTTCTGCCATACCTTCAATTGGACATGATTCCTCTGCAATGTAATGACATGTTAAAAAGCAAATATCAAGACGAGAACCTAACAGAATCCATAAATTTCTTCCAAGAGATTGAATATATTCTATTAAAATACTACATTTGTGGAAGGTTATCAGTATCAGTACCTCTCTGTGGGAAAAGGCATTTCATAGATGAAATATACACAAAATCTCATTACAGATCAACATTAACAGATGGACATTTGTAATCAATTTTGATGATCGAGAACACTAAATTTGAAACCCCAAAGTATGAATTTTCTATCGCTGCTATAACAAATGACCACAACTAGTAGCTTAAAACAATACCCACTTATTACTTCACAGCCTTATGAGTCAGACGTCTGAGTTACAGCATAGCTCACCTGGAGTCACAGCTGAAAATCTCACAAGGCCAAAATCAAGGTGCCAGCAAAGCTGCGTTCCTTTCTGTAAGCTCTGGAAATGCTTCCACTTCTAAGCTCATTCAGACTGTTGGACAATCGCAATTCCTATGGTTATAAAACTGGGGCCCTCATTTCCTTTATTTCTGTCAGCCAGGAGCCAATCTGGGGCTCCTCGATACTTCCCACATTCTTTCTCATGCTTTCCATGTGGCCCCTCCACCAGCCACAGGTTTGCTCTCTTTCATGCTTCCAATCTCTATTTCTCCTTCCCCGGCATCTCCCTGACTTCAGCCTAAAAGCATTCTCTCTGTTTTTAAGAGCTTGTTTAATTAGAATAGGCCCACGTGGATAAACCAAGCTGCTATCCCTATATTAACATCCATAACCTCAATTATATCTGCAACTTCCCTTCTGCTATATAGCATAAAGGACATAAGGATTAGGATATTGACATATTCATGGGTCATTCATTATTCTGCCTACCATATCCAATTGAGCAAAATGTTATTACCCAAAAAATAAATTCATTCTTTTCATTAGCAGCTTCATGTTATAAAAATTGTATGTTACTATTATTATTATTATTTTGAATTATGTTAATTAAAAATGTATGGAAATGTGTATTTGTCTCTTGTTATACAAATACCTGTCTAATATTCTCAATTTTGCCTTTTGGCCCATAAGCCTAAAATATTTACTATCTGACCCATTATAGAAAAATTTGCTGATTTATGTTGCGGTAGAAAAATAAATTGGTGCAGACTTTCTGGAAGTTTAACAAAATGTTTCACAAATTAAAATGAAAATGAACAAACAAACACATTTAAGAAAAATTGTGCCAGGAAATTTTGTCTAGGAAACAAAGTATGTGTGTGCTCAAATTTAGCAATAGTTTTGTTTAGTCAGCATCATTTACAAAGGGAGAAATTTGTAGTTAAGCCAAGTATGTACCAATAGGGGGATGGTTAAATAAATTTGAGTAAATCCATTTAGCACTAAAATTATATTATGATAAATGTAAACAGTAGCTATTTTTATTGCCATTGATTATATACATTTTAATATTTTTGATAATGTACATTTACTGTATTATAAAGATATAACTATAATTAAAAGTTGTTTTATAAAACAAATTGACTTAATTTGGTGGGAACATTAAGGAAGCAATAAAAAGAGACTTTAGTCTACTGTGGTTAATCCTGAAATAGAGCTCTATAAGTATGGTTTAAAGATATGGGGAAATCTTCAAGAAGAAATGATGGGGGTTGTCCCTCGGGAGTGGGACCGAGAGCAGGAAGATATGGAACAGGGATTCTTGCTTTTCATCATAGGGTCTATGCACTAATCGATTTTACTTTGATAAAAGTGTAAAAATATGGAATTACATATGTGTATGTGGTTTATTTTATTTTTTTAAGAGTTATTTATTTACTTTACAGAGAGAAAGTGAGCATGAGTTGGGGGGGGGACAGAAGGAGAGGGAGACAAGCAGACTCCCAGCTCAGCAAGGAGCCCCACATTGGGGCTCAATCCCCTGACCCTGAGATCATGACCCAAGCAGAAACCAAGAGTTGGAGGCTTAAACCAACTGAGCCACCCAAGCGCCCCAGATTTTACTTTGGTAGAAGTGTAAAAATATGGAATTTGCACACGTGTATATGTATATGTGGTTTATTTTTTTAAAGAAATATATGCTGAAAGCTGTCTTTTGATCAGGAAAGCATTATACTTCATAAAACAAGAAATGACTAAAAAATTGAGAGAAGTAATTACTAAGTTTGCTTCCTTGACCAAACAGGCCAGAGCTTAAATGAATGAAATGTAAATTGAATGAAATCTCACAGGACCTGAAAACAATATTTTGTATATCATGTTTTTTCCTTTTAAGTCTCCTGTTCTAATGTCTTCCTTTTACATTCATTTCCTGAAGAGAAGACCTTTGAATTCTGCTGGTTATACAAAGCCTTCCCTTCCTACTAAGAGAAGGGAAATCTTTAAGCAAAGGCCCTTTTTCTCCTGGGGCAAATCTGACATAGGCAAGTGGAATGTTTTCCCTGGATACATGAATAGGTGAAGTAAGAAAAGTCAATAGATAGACAATTTTTTATAACAAGGAAATACCCAAGATAGGCTAAGAACACAGAAATGCAGAGCAGCCTGAATATCTGAATGAAGAGGGGCTTTGAAGTAGGCAGGCCTGCTTTCAAATTCCAGTCGTTCCTAATCCTCTGAACCTCAGTTCTGGTATCTGTAATAGTGAGTAAGAGATATTTATGTCAAGGATTCCTTAGTAATTAATGAATTAATGAATATAAAATAATAAGCATAATATTTAGCTTACAGTAAACATTCAACAAAGCTATTTCTCTGCCTATTATTGTAAATTTCTCCCCCCAAACTATATCCTTTCTAGTGTCTATAATCGTATGAATAATATCTAAATATATCTATATATATTTAGATACAGCTTTTAAATATATGCAAATTAATTTAATTATCTATGTTTTACTTTCAAGTAATTAGGTACTTCCTTTATTTTAGCTCTTTTGAAAGCAAGAAGCACATCTAATAATTCCTATATAACCCCGTATAATATGCATCCTGCTTCTATTAATGTATTTGAATATTTACATTCAGTATCCCACTGAATCCACACAATCGCCTGCAAGGTGTGAGCTTTTCTTACCCCACGGTTACAGATGAGAAGGCTAAAGTGTACAGTGGTTAAATAAGTTGGCCAAGCTAATACCACTCGAAGGTGACAGAGTAGGGAGTTGACGGACTTGAACCTGGATGTGTCTGTGTCCAGAGTCCAGATATCTGTTATGCTCTATTGCCATCACCCCTAAAAGAGAGCAGAAATGTTTCTGTCATTGCTTTCTTGCTTATCTTTAAAGGTGCATTCAGGGGGTACACTACCTGTTTTTAGCAGACACATCCACATTGACTCCATCACCAGATCATTTCTCTTTTCCCTTGTAGGTAACTCACGAATACTTCCATCTTCCACCATCCCTGTCCGTAGGACCCTGGTCCGGGCTGCTCTTGTCATGGCTCGAACAACTGTTTCAGCCTCCTGCAAGATCAGCCAGTCTTCACTCTTAACACCTTCCAGTTCATTCTCTACACCGCAGCCCAGCTGTATTCTAAAACCCAATCTGTTCTTGTAACACTTCAGTAGCTCCACATACCTCTGAGGAAAACCCTCCAACTCTTTGACTCCCCCGACCATATAAGCTCCATGAAAGTAGCAACCCTGTATAATTGGCATAGGAGGGGTTTGCACATTTTGGTTATTCAGGAAGTCTCTGTTTGGTCAGCATGTTGAAGGAACCAAGTTTCCAGGCTTCTTTAATTCATGTACTTATTCATTCTTCCAGCCTCATCTTCTGCTATTCCTGCCCTTGAACATACTCTCCAGCTTTAATAAACTTTGTTTAGACCTTGAAAATCATCAAGAAGAGAAACAGTTCTCAGAAACTCACAGAACTGAGAATGGGAAAAATAAACTCCAAGATGCAGACAATCTGATAATACCAGGAGGGCTGAGGCTGGTGACAGGGCAGCTAGAAGGGCCAAGGAGATGCTTAGGAACAACAGCAATAAAAGGACAGTGACACAAGGCAAACAGGAGTACAGACCCATGTCATCAACCACAAGGACTAAACCTCTGGCTCAAAAGTAATTTGTTGTGTTTTACCTTCATTTATACTTCTATCTTCCTTAGTTTTTACTTATTCTTTTTAATATGTCTCTCACTTCGGGAGAGCCATTCTGGGATGAGTCAGGCAGCTATTACGTTATTGTGTGTTTATTGGATGTGAGGTTTCCTCCTAGAAACTGAAGGTACGAGACCAGAGGGTAACAGGCATTGCCCTCATGAAGGCTGCAGTCTGTGTAGGAGGGAGACATAGATTATTTCAATACAACAGAATGAAGACTGCCCTAAGTTTCACAACTGCTCAGCAAAGGAGGGCCACTTTGCCAAAGACAAAGGCCCACAGAAAGATTTCATCACAGTTTCTATAAATGCCTATTGATTTTGCCTATGTCAACAAGATAACTAAATCTCCAGATGTTTAGTCTACATGTGTTCTAGAGATGTGTTGTTTATGTATAAATGTGAATGGTCATAGGAAGCTTTTTTTTATTTTTTCCATTTGAATATTAACTCATTTTGTTTATACCGATTTTCCTGGCTAAAAGGCTGAAAATTTCCCAAAGGTCACAGTGGAATCCCTCACCTTGTTTGACAGGCTGAAGACCAAATTTTTGAATGTCAAACACACTTATAAATAGTCTGAGTTTGTCTGTTGTCTAATGCCATTTCACTTCTATTTTTTTTTTTTTTTTTGAAGAAACCTGTTTTCCTCAGCAAGAGAACTCTATTTGCAATTAAGTTGTATGCAGGCCCTGTTACATCAGGGGTCAGGCCCTTCCATTTCTCTCCCCTCGATTTTGATACCATTCTGGGTGGGGGTAAGGGGGTCATCATAGGGGGCAGGCATAATCATGGGAGCGGAACAGCTCAGTCTTCCGTATTGTGATTCCATACTGACTGCAAACCTACCCCAATCTTTTCAGCAATATGCAGCACTGGATATGCAGGATATTAAGTTACTCAGAAATCACAGTTGCAAGTATTGAGAGCAGTGGTATAGCAAGTGTGGGAGAGGGTAGGGCAGTAGGAGCACTCTACCTCATGTGTAGGCCGTAAGAGCACTGGCTGTAGAAAATTTAAAGAAACGATAAAACTGACTAAAATTTAGTTTGCTTTGTGTTATCACCATGCATTGTCATTTTAACAATGTCAGTGGTATGATCCTCCTCCCTGCTGGGATAGACCGTGATTTTATGTGACCCTTCTGCCTCCTCCCCAAGTTCTCTTCTTGGTACTTTTTTTTTTTAAGATTTTATTTATTTGACAGAGAGAGACACAGCAAGAGCAGGAACACAAGCAGGGGGAGTGGGAGAGGGAGAAGCAGGCTTCCCGCGGAGCAGGGAGCCCGATGCGGGGCTCGATCCCAGG